TTCAACTCATTTCCAGTTTGTCATTCTTTAACTCTTTTTTTTTGCCTAATACCTCTGGCAAGGACTTCCAATACTATATTGAAGAGTAGCAGTGACAGTGGACATCCCTGTCTAGTTCCAGATTTTAGTGGAAAGGCTTCCAGTCTTTCCTCATTTAGTATGATGCTGGCATTGGGTTTTTTGTAAATTGCTTTGTGTTGTAGAATGTTCCTTCTATGCCTATCTTGTTTAGGGATTTTAACATGAAGTGGTGTTGGATTTTATCAAATGCCTTCTCTGTGTCTATTGAGGGGATCATGTGGTTTTGATTTTCCAGTCAGTAGATGTGATGTATCACATTTATTGATTTACAAATGTTGAACCATTCCTGCCTGCCTGGGATGAATCCCACCTGGTCCGGGTGAATGATCTGCCTGTTCTGCTGTTGGATTCAGTTGGCTAGTATTTTACTGAGGATCTTTGCATCTGTGTTCATAAAGAATATTGGTCTGTAGTTCTCTTTTTCTGTTGTTTCTCTATCTGGCTTTGGTATTAGGGTGACATTAGCTGCATAGAAAGAGTTTTGAAGGATTGCCTCTCTTTCTATTGTTTGGAAAAGCTTGTGTAGGATTGGGGTCAGTTCCTCTTGAAATGCTTGATAGAATTCAGCAGTGAAGCCATCTGGCCCAGGACTTTTCTCGGTTGGGAGGGCTTTAATTGCTGATTCAATCTCAGTGCATGTTATTGGGTTGTTTAGATTGTTAATTGCTTCTTGATTCAATTTTGGTGGCTTGTATGTGTTAAAAATTCTATCCATCTCCTCTAGGTCTTCTCATTTGTTCGCATATAGTTGCTTGTAATAGTTCCTGATGATTCTTTGTATTTCTGAGGTATCTGTTGTTATATCTCCTTTTTTATCTCTGATACTATTGATGTGTATTTTCTCCCTCCTTTTTTTGATTAGTTGGGCTAGTAGGGAGTCTATTTTGTTGATTTTCTCAAAGAACCAGCTCTTTGATTGATTGATAGGTCTCTTGGTCTCTATTTGGTTTATTTCCTCCCTTATTTTGATTATTTATTTTTTTCTACTAATCTTGGGATTGCTTTTTTGTTGCCTTTCTAGTTCCTTCAGCTGTAAGGTTAGCTGATTCACTTGATGCTTTTCTAGTTTCTTGACATAAGCATTGATTGAAGTGAACTTTCCTCTTAACATTGCCTTGATTGTACCCCATAAGTTTGATATGTTGATGCCTTCATTTGTTTCAAGCAATTTAAAATTTCCCCTTTGATTTCCTCTCTAACCCATTGCTCATTTCATAACATATTATTCAGTCTCCACATGTTTGTAAGTGTTCCTTGGTGTTTTGGCATCTTGGTCTCAAGCTTTACTCCTTGGTGGTCTGAAAAGATGCATGATATGATTTCCACTTTTTTTTTTAAAGATTTATTTTTATTATTTTTTATTGGAAAGGCGGATATACAGAGAGGAGAGACAGAGAGGAAGATCTTCCATCCGATGATTCACTCCCCAAGTGAGCCGCAACGGGCCGATACTATGCCGATCCGAAGCCAGGAGCCTCTTCCGGGTCTCCCACGCGGGTGCAGGGTCCCAAAGCTTTGGGCCGTCCTCAACTGCTTTCCCAGGCCACAGGCAGGGAGCTGGAAGGGAAGCGGGGCTGCCGGGATTAGAACCGGCGCCCATATGGGATCCCGGGCGTGCAAGGCGAGGACTTAACCACTTGTGCCACCGCGCCGGGCCCTGATTTCCACTTTTTAAAATTTGCTGAAGCTTGTTTTATGGAGTATAACATGATGAATTCTGGAGAAGATTCCATGTACTGATGAAAAAAGTGTGTTCTCTGTGGTATGAAAGGTTCGATAGATGTCAACTAAATCCATTTGCTCTAGTGTTTGGGTGAGTTCTATTGTTTCTTTGCTGAGTTTCTGGCTTTTTGATCTGTCCATTTGTGTTAATGGGATATTAAGGTCTCCCAGTATGATCGAATTGGAGTGTATTTCTCCCTTTAAGCCCCTTAATATTTGTTTCAAAGCAGCTAGTTGCTTTGGCGTTTGGAGCATAAACATTTATTATGCTGATCTCTTCTTGTTGAAGACATCCTTTGATCATTATGTGGTATCCTTCTTCATCTCTTTTAATGCTCTTTACATCAAATTCTATGTCATCTGATATAAGAATGGCTACCCCTGCTCGTCTTTCCTTACCATTTGCGTGGAATATCTTTTTTCATCCTTTCACTTTCAATTTCCTCTGATGTTTGTTGGTGAGATGTGTCTCCTGTAAGCAGCAGATAGCTGGGTTTTGTTTTTTGATCCAGTCCTCCAATCTATGGCATTTGACTGATGAGTTTAAGCTGTTTACATTCAGCAGTCAAACGCCATAGATCTTGTACATGCCAGTGGTTGTTCTGACCCAGCTCAGAATAGCCCTTCCCCCATCTTGACCTTTGCATCCAATGCTGCAGCATGACCTGTCCCTGTCTCCCCCTAGTTCCAACTCTCACTGGTGGGTGCTGCAGTTTAGCCCTGCCTAGATGGTTCTCATCCCTTACTCATTAAAACTGATAGGTGTTTGCCTAGCCTGGCATGACCTGCATTCCCGCCTGGCTCTTGCACATGCCAATGTGCTAAGGTTTGGCCAAACCCTGTCTGGTCTGCCCTACTCTAGAACCAACCCACAACTGGCCACCACTGGAACCACCTTGCCCGACCTGACCAACACTGAGGTCTGCACCAAATGCTCATTAGCAGGCTGCTTCCCTGTCCCCTCTGGGGCTCAGGCTCCCAGTTTCCACTGTGCATGCAGGCCAAGCAACCCAGGCTGCAGAGCCCAGTCATTCTCCATCCACTCTGGGGCTCAGGAGTCCAGCTTCCGCTATGGCATGCAGGTCCCAGCCATTCCCTGTCCCCTTTGGGGCTCAAAGACCTGGCTTCCACTGCACACATGGGCCAAATGATCCAGGCTGTCAGACCCTGGTCTTTCCATGCCCCCTCAGATGTGGTGTCTTAACTGCCACTCTCACCATGAGGGAGTTAGTCACGCTCCCCCCCCCCTTTTTTGATAAGGAAATGCCAGGAGAGCTCAAAAAATATGTGGAAAATTCATATGATGAAAAACCTATATATGAATTTCCAACTTTGTTTAAAAAATAAGTGTATTTTAATTAATGAACTTAAAAAAGATTTATTTATTTATTTTTTAAATTGGGAAGTTAGATTTGCAGAGGGAAGGAGAGACAGAGGGAAAGATCTTCCATCTGCTGATTTACTTTGAAGTAGCCACAACAGCCAGAGCTGAGCTGATCAGAAGCTAGGAGCCAGGAACTTCTGGGTCTCTCACGAGGATGCAGGGTCCCAAGGCTTGTAGGCTGTTCTCTACTGCTTTCCCAGGCTACAAGCAGGGAGCTGGATGGGAAGTAGAGCAGCTAGGATATGAATAAGCACCCGTTTAGGATCCCAGCACATGCAAGGCCAGGACTTTAATTACTAGGGTACTGCATCAGGCACAATTGATGAACTTTCAAAAAAATTAAAAGTTTTTTGGACCTAGACTGAGCAAATGTTTTAGTGTTCTTTCTTGTTTTAGGGATCTTTCCAACTAACAGTGGATTAGTGGACCTTTTCTGTCACATCCTTACCAGCATTTGTTGTTGATTTCTGTATGTAGGTCATTCTCAATAGGGAAGGAGGAAGAAAGGAAGGGATGAAACTCTATGCTTAGGAAGTTCTATCATGGAAAATAATACAGCAGAAAATTAATAAGCAGGAGTTCTAAATTTTATTTTCAAAGTTAGAATTACAGAGGAGAGAAGATATATATAATACACATATTATATATCTGTTGTATATATAAATCATATATAATATATAACACACATATGTTATATATATTATATATTACATGCTATTTAGCATCATCATTTATCATTTATATATATATGAGAAAGAGGCAGAAAGAGAAAGATTTTCCATTTGGTGTTTCACTTCTGGAATGGTCACAGCTGTTGGGTGTGACCAGATAAAGTCAGGAGCTTCATTCATTCTCCCATGTGGTTGGCAAGGACCATAACACTTGGGCCTTCTTTTGCTGCTCTCCTAGGCCATTATTAGGGAGCTGATTTGAAAGCAGAGCAGCTGGGATGTGAGCCAATGCCCACAAGTGATACCAGCCTTGCAGGTGGTGGTTTTACTTGCTGTGTCACAGTACTAGACCCCTAGCATGATTTCTATATGTGATTTTAAAAAAAGATTTATTTGTTTTTATTACAAAGTCAGATATACAGAGAGGAGGAGAGACAGAGAGGAAGATCTTACATCTGATGAGAAGTGGAGCTGCCAGGGTTAGAACCTGCGCCCATATGGGATCCCAGCGCGTTCAAGGTGAGGACTTTAGCCGCTAGGCCACACCACTGGGCCCTATATGTGACTTTTTTTAAAAAAAATTTATTTGTTTTTTATTGGAAAGGTGGGTTTACAGAGAGTAGGAGATATATAGAGATAGATCTTCCATCTGCTGGTTCACTCCCCAACTGGCTGTGACAGCTGGAGCTGAGCTGATCCAAATCCAGGAGCTTCCTCTGGATCTCCCACATGGTGCAGCATCCCAAGGCTTTGGACCATCCTCTACTGCTTTTCCAGGCAGGGAGCTTGATGGGAAGTGAAGCAGCTAGGACATGAACCAGTGCCCGTATGGGATCCTGGTATATGCAAGGCAAGGATTTAGCCACTGAGCCATCATACTGGGCCTTATATATGGGATCTTTATGACAAGCTAGTCTGTAATGTGAGCTACTTTAGTTTATGAAGACCCGAGTGACTTTTGGCGTTGGCATCTTGCTGTATAATCTACTCAAACTTGAACCAGGAAGGGATGCTAAATGTGTGTTGTACAAAAAAGCAAAACGAGAAATGTAACCTCAGGATCAAAGTGTGGGTCCTGGGCTTGGCTTTGTCTATTGAAATCTGGCTTCTTGGACCTAATCAGTTCTGTTCTCCTACTACAGACTCTTTGAAGGTCGCAGGCATGTTTTGGCCATCACTGATCCAGAAATGATGAAAACAGTGCTGGTGAAAGAATGTTACTCTGTCTTCACAAACCGACGGGTAAGTATTGAATTTTTTAAAAAAACAAGTACTTAACCTTTCGCAAATTTGCTTATCACAGTGATAATATCTTGCATATCTATAAAAATGGGATATTCCTGTAATGACAGGAAAAGAACAAAAAGCTTATTCAGATTTCATAAAGTTTTATGTGCTTTATTTCTCTCCCTCTCCCTTTCTCTCTGTCTGTGTTTGCGTGTACGTATGTATGTAGCCAAGGACATGGATCACATGTGTAGATTTCAACTACCAGAACAAACAACCTATGGAAATCTTCTCTCACCAAAAGACTCCCTTTTATTACTCAGTTTGAATTGCAATGTACATCTTGTCTTACCTTATAGCAGATTTCTTATTAGAATTAGTACTTTTTATTTGAAGATGCCATTGTTGGTTTTATAATTTATAGATTGTGCTTTTGTTGCCAAGATTGAACTTTCTTTGTGTAACCCTCATTTGTTGTATGATTTTGTGATTACCTTAAACCTGTAATTTATTTTGATTTAATTCCTGTGTAATGTATGGCGGTTATGTCACTGTTCATATTTTGCCCTATGGACTGCTCATTTGTTTCAACATCTCCTTCCCTCTCTCTGTCCCTTTATTGTATTGCTTTTTCACCAATGTTAGAAATTCGTTGGAACTCATGGTGTGGGTCTAGGTTTCATTACCTGTTCTGTTCTATTGATCACTGTGCCTAACACCCAATAATACCACTCTATCTTGTTTATGGTAGGTTTACAATAAGCATAATATCATGTGAAGTGAATTTTCCCACTTCATTTTTCTTTTCATGACTGGAATAGCTGTTCTTCGTTTTAATTTCTCCACACAAATTTGGAATAATTCATTTATATTTACATATCAATCTTGCTTAGATTTGGATGGGAATTGAATTAAAGCTATAGAAGAACTTTGTCAGAATTTGTATCCTTGTTGTCTTGAGTCTTCCAGTTGATGAACACAGCATGGCTCTTCATTGTGTTTTCTTGGCAAATTTTTGTGATTTTCAGCATATACATTCTATCTGTATATTGTTTTAAAACATTATTATTATTATCATTATTATTGCCTTATGATACAGTTCCATACACCATGGGATTTTTTTTACCACCTCCACAAGTCCCTTCATCCATACTGAAGCTCCCTAATTTATTAATATAGTACAGTCCTTCATAAACAGTCATATGTCCATCATTGCAGGCATGGATAATGGCAGAGAGCCCAGCATTATATTGTCAAGTAAACAGTTTCATTGGGAGTCAACCCATGATCTAGAAGTAGAAATTCATACTGCATTGTAGCCTCACATCTGCATATGACTGTCTCCATTACACAGTTACTATACATCCCCTTAAATGAAAAGCCACAATACTAAATCAACAACAGGAAAAAAATAGAAATTAACAATGCCATGAAATTAAATAACATGCTGCTAGACATGATAATCTCCATTACACAGTTACTGTACATCCCTTTAAGTGAAAAGCCACAAAACATCAACAACAGGAAGGAAGGAAGAAATTAAAGATGCCATGAAGTTAAATAACTAATGTGTCACTGAAGAAATGAAGAGAATCATGAACCTTCTTGAAGAAGATAACGCTACTGTATGATCTATGAGTTGTTGAAGAATTTAATCAGAAGAAAGTGTTTTAAAGAGATGAAACAAACAAACAAAAATCAAAATCTGTGAGATACAGTTTCTGCTGATCTTTGTTGGTGAGATATATCCTACCCGTGCCCCCGTAGGGAACAAATAGATCGGTTTTGTTATTTTAATCCAGTCTACTGATCTGTGATGTTTGATTGATGAGTTTAAGCCATTTACATTGAGGGTTAATGTGAATGGGTGGTAATTCGGTCCTGTCATTTTAGCAATGGGTTGTTCATTGATTTAGTCTTCTGTTGTTGTGTTACTGGGATGTTCTTCACATTTGCCTTTGGCTTTTCTCTGTCAAGAGAACATCTTTAAGTAAGTATCACTTGTAGGGCAGGTTTGGAAGAGGCATACATACTCTTTTAACTTTTCTTTACTGTGGAAGAATTTTATTTCATTTTCCAAGAGAAAGGAAAGCTTTGCTGGGTATGTTATCCTGGGCTGACAATTTTATTGCTTTGAGAATCTGGACTATGTCACGCCATTGTCTTCTGGCCTGTAGCATTTCCTGTGAGAGATCTCCTGTGAATTTAATTGGCATTCCTTTATATGTCAATTGATTTTTCTTTTCAAGTGCACATCTAAGGATCTTTTTCTTACGTTCAATTGAAGAGTGCTTGATTGTCATGTGTCATGGAGAAGATCGCTTTTGATCAAGCCTGTTGGAAGTTTTGTGCCCCTCCTGGATGTTGTTTCCCAATTCTTTCTCTGCATTAGGGAAAATTTGCCTTATTAGTTGATCGAATACACTTTTAACCCCACCTTCTTTTTCTGTACCTTCTGGGAATCCAGAACTCTTTTTTGGGGCCTTTTAGTGTCTTTCATTTGTTGAATACTTTTTTTTAAAGCTTTATCCAGTTCTATTTCCAGCTTTTTGTTTGTTTCCCACTGGTGACAGAAATATCTTTCAGTTCTGAGATTCTTTCTTCTGCTTGTTCTTTGTATTTTGGAGATTCTCCACTGTACTTTTAATTTGCTTCATGGTATTCTTCGTTTGTGATATATCAGCTTTCATTTGATTCATTGGTATTTCCTGTGTGACATGATCCTTAAATTGCTTGAATTCCTGATCATGTGCTTCTCATTATTGATTAGAAGCTTTATAACGAGTGATTTGGATGCTGTATCTACCATTTTCTCGAAGTATTTCTCAGTTATCTCTGAGGTTGGGCAAGGCCTTTGCTTTTTTGCAGGGGAGTATTCAGTAATGTTCATTGTGCCTCTGTGTCTTCTTTTGCTCTTGGTCCTGTGTTGGTCAGTTTCCAGATGCCCCTCTGCTTTCGTTTTTTCCTCTCCCATTTCCTGGTGTCCTCGCTGCTTCACACTGGCTTAATGTTTCTCTGTCTGTTTAAATATGTCCTTGCTCTACTTCGCTGTCTGTTGTGTTAACATTTTCTAACAAGTGTGTTCTGTTTTTTTTTTCTTCATGTTTAGAACCTGAGTTCTTTTTCAGTTTTTCATACAACATAAAATACATTTTTAAACTACAGATATTCCACTCTGCTATGTAGCCCTGAATTAATTATTTCTCAGTGTTTTTGTGCCTGTCATCCAGCTTTCCTCTATATTTTTCTCCAGTCCTTCAGAGCCTGCAGTAATCCCTGCTTTATGTTCAGACTGACTTTCTAAAACTTGCACGCATGAGAGAGAATTTGTTGTTGCCTTAATATAATGGTGCTTAACATAATGACCTTCTGTACCATTAGTTTTGTTGCAAATAACCAGACTTGATTTTGATTTATGGCTGTATTCATTGTAACTTATGGCTGCATTCCATTGTGAGTATATAGCACATCGTTGTATGTGTTTGTGGGTGAGTGTATGTAAAGAGAGATTGAGTGTATATAAAGAGGATTAGCTAGACTAAAGAGACAGTTTTCCCAGGATTTCTGGCTATCTGTCACCAACCCTTTTCTGTTTTGTACTTTCCTGAGGATGTTCTATGTTTTTGTTTCTGTTCTTCTCCTGGAAGAATGATTTTCTTATGTGAACCATTGATTTTTAAAAAGTTATAATTTTATTTTCATAATCTTGGCATGGTTGATACGACACAAAGAGTCAAGGGCTACAGGAAAGTGGGTAAGACCATTGTTTCCACATTCTCTCTCTTTTTTTCTATATCTGTGTTAAGGAGGGAGATAAAAGAGAAACCCTACCCAACCTTCTGCCCACCCCAGGTCCCTGATGTGGGGCATGCTCTGAGGGCACTACTCAAATTTCATTCACTCAAGTGAGGCTAGGCATATGAGATATTTATTGAAAGCATAACATTGGGTGTGCCAGCTTGTATACCTCACTAACATTTCAAAAATGACTAATGCCTATTTAATAATTGTTTACAATGCTGATGATTTTCTAATCATATGTAGGACAAAATGTCTTATGTTTGGATTTTAGCCTTTTGGACCAGTGGGATTTATGAAAAAGGCCGTCTCCATATCTGAGGATGAAGAATGGAAGAGAATTCGAACATTGCTCTCTCCTACTTTCACTAGTGGAAAACTCAAGGAGGTAATGAAATAGTGGATATTTATTAGAAACTTGAATGAATCTGGGGACAGGTAGAAAGTTACACCCTAGTTCATTTTGAAAGAGAAAATTCATTGGGTTTTAGTGTCCTCCAAATTGTCTTTTGATTTTATGACCTAGAAGAGATATTACATTCATTAAAATGACTTCAGCGTTGGTAGTTATGTTCTGATTTTTTTTAAAAAAATTTACTTATTATTATTTTAAGAGAGAAGGTTAAGAAGAGAGAGAGAGAGAGAGAGAGAGAGAGAGAGAGAGAGAGAGAGAGAGACAAAGAGAAAAAGGAAGAGGAGAGAGAAAAGGAGAGGAGAGGAGAGAGACTGGGAAACATATCCAAAGCCAGGAGCCAGGTGCTTCTTCTGGGTCTCCCAGGGAAGGTGAAGGGTCCCAATAACTTGGGCCATCCTATGCTACTTTCCAAGGCTATAAGCGGGGAGCTCAATGGGAAATGGAGCATCCAGAACATGAACTGGTGCCCACATGTGATACCAGTGCCTGAAGTTAGAGGGCTAGGCTGTTGGGTCATTGCACGATCCCTAATCCGTGTTCTTCTTACTTGAGTCTCTAGCTTAAACTGTGCGGTAGTGGTCTGTATACAGAAACATTATGTCACTTCTCCATGAATTCAAAAGCATATTTTTATGTTACTTGAATCTCTGTATTTCTCTATGACTGGTATTATGTATTTGTGCTTAGATGATACCCATAATTGCCCAGTATGGAGATGTGTTGATGAAAAACCTGAGACAGGAAGCAGAGAAAGGCAAGCCTGTAGACTTGAAAAAGTAAGTATGAATGTAGTTGCAGAGGTTCTGAACTCTTTCAGTGTGTGCCATGGAGTTGAAATTTTTCTTCTGGAGTCACTAACAGCACACAAAAGCAGGTATGTGCTGTTAGATCTCCAGTAAGTCATCCAAAAAAGGAGACAGCTGAAACTTGAAGACATGGAAGTTGGGAACAGAAAGGACTTGATTTGAATAGAGCGCATAATAGTTACCTGCTTGATTTCACCTTAACTGTTTGGGATACAAAATCCATAGGTAGAAAGAAGAAACTTGATTGTACCAAAGTTTTGTTTGTAGATGGTATGGGTTGGGTCTGGGGAGGTAGGGGAAGCATTTTGTACGTATTGGGAGACAGGGTGTAGGGCAGAAGAGTCCAGTGTGTGTGTAGGAACAATTGAAATGGCTTCATGGTTTTGCTGAGGATAGTAGAAAAATGCTAGATGTTGAAATATATCTGTTGCTTCTGATTTCTTGAGTCTCCGAAGAAAAACAAAAGCCCTGTAAAGACCATGGGCAGGTCAACAAAATAATTTATCATCTAACTAGGCTATTTATTTCTTTATTCATACTAATTTGAAGGGAAGAGAGGAAGAGAGAAATATTCCATCTCCTGATCCTAAATGCCTGTAACAGTGTAGGCTGGGGTAAGCTGAAGCGAAGAGCTGGGACTCAATTCACATATCTTCTGTGAGTGGAAGGGCTTAAGTATTTGACCATTATTAGTAGGATGTGCATTCATAAGAAGCTGGAACTGTTAGTGAAGCTGATATTTGGCCTGAATACTCAGACATGGAATGGTGCTTCCGAAACAACATCCTAACTGCTGTGCTACTCTCTCTCCAGCCTCCCATCTGGGATAATTTTGAATTATTTGGGAACAATCTGTGTAAAGTGAGACTGTCCTGGGCAAGCAGGGGACACTTGTTCACATAGTTATGAATTATTCTAAATAAATATTGGAGGAGATGTGTACTATATTTAGCAAGTGTTATCCTTGGGCTTATATTTTACAGATATAAAGGGCAACCTTAAATCCTGGAGATGAGAAGGAAGGGATCTTTTAGGAGCTTTGACAATGGAGAGAAGGAGGAATGATGTTCCTGCCATTTAGAGCAGGGTGTTGCTATTCTGTAATGTACTGAAGATAACTCATCTCTGTACATAGTCCCTAGGATGTGGTAAGACCTAGGTGAATGGCACTCTCTTCAGTCCCCTGGAAGAGTGAATTTGCTACCTTGTCCTGTTGAAGCCCAGGGCTTCCACACCAGGAACATCCACATACGTCATACAGTTGTAATTTGTTCAGTTATGGGTGTGTGACTCTTCATGTCCTGATCTGCTTGAGCTGAGATGTGTATCTTAAGTTTCCCAGAGTCCTACCACGCCTAGAAGAAAGACAACTGCATTGTATACCCATAGTAAATGTGTGAATGTGAGTGATGGAAACATCGGCCACCCTGAAAAACGTGCTATCAGTTTATTTATTTGAAAGGCAGAGAGAAGTGAGAACCAAGAGGGAGAGGTATGGAGGAGAGAGAGTGGAGAGGAGCTATCTTCCATTTGCTGGTTCAGTAGAGTATGCCATGCTGAAGCCAAGGATCTAGAAGTCTAACTCCAGGTCCCACACGGGTGGCAGGGGCTAAGTTGTTAAACTGCCATCTTCTACGTCCCAGGATGCATTAGCAGGAAACTAGATGAGAAGTTGTGTAGGTTGGACTTGAACCAGCACTCCGAGTGGTGATGTGGGCTTACCAAACTTAACCCACTGAACCACACTGCCTGCTTCAGGAGGTGGTCCAGGCAGTGTGTGGCTGTCTACCTTTTGTGTGTGACATGTGCTTTCCCAGCACTTCCTCCTGCATGTGTAGCTGAATAATGGCAAGAAGGTGCTGGTTTAATTGTCCTGGTGTCTCTCTCTCCTCAGAATCTTTGGAGCCTACAGCATGGATGTGATCACTGGCACATCATTTGGAGTGAACATTGATTCTCTTAGAAACCCACAGGATCCCTTTGTGAAAAACGTCAGCAGGCTATTAAAATTTAATTTCTTTGATCCTTTTCTTCTCTTAATAAGTAAGTAGTGTACTATTTCATCTATTTTTAAAAAGTGCCTTTTAGATCTGATTCATAAAGCATGTACTGCACCCATTTAAATAGTACATTTATGCTATCATATTTGCCAGTTTTAGAACTTTTTTTGTCAATTTAATAATCCCATTATTTCTTTCACCATCCCTACTCCTCCCCCCTCCCCATTTTCACTAATCTTCCTTTCTGTCTCCATGGATTGACTATTATTTACACTTTATATAAATGGAATAATAGGTGTTCACTTGTGACTGGCATCTTTCACTTGTTAGACTGTCAATGTTGATTCATGTGTCATGATGTATTTTGTAATTATGGTAAAGAATCTTGTCATATAGCATTCAATGTTTATTAATCCTTTTGTAAGCTGTTGGACATTTGAATTGATTCCATGTTTTGTCTACTGAAAGCCATATTCATTCTATGAGTGGTCATGCACATGTGACCACTGTAAATATGCGTTTTAATCTTTTTAGGTGTATGCTTGATAGTAGAATGGTTGGTAGTAATTTTGTGTTTAATTCACTCATCAACTTTCAAATAGCTGATCACAATTACTATAATTTTATTTTCCAATCTGAAGTGTGTAAGGTTCCAACTTTTTCACTTCCTTGTCAGTGCTTGATTTTTCCATCTTTTTGATCACAGTTTCTCTAGTGAATAGAAGTAGTAACCCATGGCAGTTTTGATCATCCTCAACTTGATAATTAAATTGTATGCACCATTTACCATTTTCATGCCTCTGTATTTATACACTGCAGATAAAAATTCATTTAAAAGATACATGCTTTGTAAAAACTTTATCGTATTTTTGTATTTTAAAAAACTGTCCTGATAGTTTCCTTTTAGGTACAAATGTTTAATTTATGGGAAAATGTACAGTTTGTAATATTTTCTTTTTCTGTTTCTGATTTGGGTATTAAGTGTATGAATCCCTTGTTAAATCTGAGGTCTTGAAATTAACCCTCTTGACTTTCCTGTTTGAGTTGCATAGTTTTAGGTCTGCAGTGTAATACTTTGATAGTTTTTGAGATAGGTTTGTTTTTCCTCTCCACGAAAATCTTTAGTAAAAGGCGAAAGATTTATACGATCTAGAGATAGGTTTGTTTTTAAAGATTTATTTTTATTTATTTGAAAGACACAGAGAAAGAAAGAGAGAGAAAAAGATCTTCCATCTGCTAGTTCACTCTCCCTGCGGCCTCAGCAGTCAAGGGTGAGCCAGGCTGAAGCCAAGGAGCTTCTTCCAGGTCTCCCACATGGGTTATAGGATCCCAAACACTTGGATTGTATCTTTGTCATGATGTATTTGTCTAATGTTGTTTTTCGTGTAATATCTGTCCCATAGAATGAATTTAGAAGCATCTATTTTTTTGGTGTTTTGCCAATATTTGTGAAGAAGTAGTATCAGCTATCTTTCATACTAGATGGAAATCACCATTGAAATAATCTAGAATTGTGATTTTCATTGTAGACAGGTTTTAATAACTTTGTGTTCTATACATATTGTCTACTCCCTTCAGTTTCCATTCTGTAATTTGTCTATAGGATTTATTCATTTTATTTAATTTATGAAAATTTTCTAATAACTTTATTGTTAGTAGATTTCCTTTATAATTCTTTTTATTTCTGAAGTTGATGTAATTACCTGTAATTCATTTCTGATGATAGTCATTTGTCAGGTGTCTTTATTTATTCATCTGAGTAGCTAAAAGCTTGCCATTTTGTTGATATTTAGAAAAAAAAGCATTTTATTTTATCAATTTTTCTCTGTCATATATTGTATGTTTCATTAATTTCCACTTTGGTCTTTGCTCTTTTCTCATTTTAGTTTGCTCCTAATTATTTGTGTGTTAGCATGTAAAGTTGGATTATTGATTGGAAACTTTTAAAAAATTGAGAGATTTGTAACAATATATTTCCTTCTAAGCAATGCTTTCACTATGTCCTACAAAAATATGCTTTGAGGTTTGCCATAAGTGACTTCAGTTTTATTGATTGCGAAGTATTTGCAATTGTCCTTTTAATTTCTGCTTTGACCCATTGGTAATTCAGGAGAATTGACTGTATTCCACATATTTGTGATCTTGCTGTTTTCTTTCTGTTACTGATTATAGTTTCATTCTATGGCAGCTGATGAATGCATTTTGAAGTAGACAGTTATTAATACAGCAACAAAGTGTGGTTCCATCCCTATTGTCATTTCAAAGATAAAGAAAAGGGCATTGGTTGTTCTGTTCAAGCCATTGGCTTGGAAGTCTAAGGAAAAAGTGCTGAAGCAATCCGTCTTGGTTGAGAACCACTCTTCTGACTGAGAAATGATAATTGTGTCACACAATTTTGTTTTTTTAAAAATTGTGATTTCTTTATTTTCTTTCTCCTGTAGCTCTCTTTCCATTCCTTATCCCAGTTTTTGAGGCATTACATGTCAGTATGTTCCCAAAAGAGGTTACTGATTTTTTGAAAATGTCTGTAGAAAGGATGAAGGAAGATCGTCTGAAAGACAAGCAGAAGGTAAATGTGATGTTGCTTGCATTTCGATGTTTTGTTTTTGCTGGGATTTTGGGCTGTAAACAGGATTTTAATATTTCTCTGTGCATTTGTTGATGGCAGAGAGTTTAGGTTTATAAAGGAGAGTTTTTAACACTTGGGGATACGAATAAGGTGGGGTTTGGGGTAGGTAATATGAAAATAAGTCAGGACATTTACAGTGTAATAATAGGTAAACACTTAGTATTTTGAAGAATACTATTGAGGTAGGAACATTATCATTTCCATCCCACTGAACAAGTTGTCAAGGTTTAAAAACAAATGTTTAGAAACCGTTTACTGAAACTGGTCTCCCCAGATCTTAGATTTTTAAAGAATCATCTTCATCTCATGTGCCTTATTTTACATAAGCTACTGTGAAAGGTCCCATTAGTCTACCTGATGGGAGAGTGTCTATGTTGTATTTGCAAAGCTCCTGGCTTGGTTGGGTCAGTGGTCTTTTGTGGGCATTGAGGCTGTAAACTGGCTAACTGGACATTGCTTTTGTGTAGTCTGGAGTCCTGTACAGGGAGGTTTGCAGGTTGGCAAACAGGACCAGATACCTGAGTGTCACTGAATTTAGTATGTCTGTTTTTGGGATGTGAAATATTTGAAGATTTGCACCTGAACATTGGTAAGGATCTGTGGGAGTTTAATCTGTGCAGATATTGAGTAAGAGCCCAGGGAGAACAGAAAGGACTTGCTGAGCAAGCGTGACAGTAGAAGGAGCAGAAGCTTCTTTTGCTGGGAAGCTGTGTTCAAAAGCCAGAAAAACTCAGGATCAGAAGGCAAGTGACAGTGTGGCTGGATTTTTCTTGGGGAAATGAAATGCCCTCTTAGACTTCCAGACTACTGCTTTGTTCACTGTGCCTCAGGCAACTCCAGTGAGACTTGGACTTAAGAGGGGTCTTCTCAGAAGGCAGGCACAGTGGTGTACTGCTAACATAGGGTTACCTTGTCTTTGACATTTCTGTTTTAGCACCGAGTAGATTTTCTGCAACTGATGATTAACTCCCAGAATTCCGAAGAAATCAATTCCTACAAAGGTAATTATGAATGGATGGGAAGCTCTGAGGAAGGGTTTATTCTTAAATGTACATGACATTTTCGAGGAGATGAGCATTTCTGCCAGCCTGCAGAGATGCATGTTCAGATGTTATCAGTGGAGGTCAGAGTGAATTCTCCCAGCCTGTGGCATGAGGAGAACCATGCATTTCTTTTTTTATTTCTATTCTTTCTTTCTAGTTTTAAAGCAAGATTTATTAGACAAGTTGAGGAAGGGGACTCCTGTCCTAGTGACAGGAGAGAGTTCTGAGATAAAAAGGACCCTAGTCCTCTGCCATAGTGGCAGGAGGAAAAGAAAGAAGACCCCGAACCATGCATTTCATGCTGGGAAACCAGTGAATGGTTGGTGAATCACAGTTGTTGGTAGAACAGAGGTGGACCCCTGGTCACGTACAGATCCCTGAATCAGAGTGTCTGCCTGGAAATGTTCATCTAGGTGTGGAACTTGTCCGGAGCTCTGATATTAACTGGGACTGCTTGGTGGAAGTGTGCTCAGTGGCCTAATAGCCTGTAAAATTCAATTTTTTCTGTTTGTAATACACATGCACCCTGTGGGAGAAACCTTGCAGAGTTTTTTGCAGTTTCTCCTCAACCTCTACCTGGTAGTTTCATCATGCACTGATGGCTTTCAAGTGAAACCATGATCACTCACTGGATGTGAAATGACTTCCTACTCATCATTTTTGGGAGCTGAAAGTGATTATTGCTACTGAGGTGTCTGCTTTCTAGATTATTCAAAACAAGGAAAATTAAATTTATCTATACAGAACTAGAAATAAAATACTTCCAAATGTATGATACTCAATGGTGTCAACAGGTCTTTGTTTTCTCCATCTCCTCATGTTTCATTTTTCTCAAACACCTCCTCCCCAGTTCATATCCTTTTTCTTTGATGTAGATTTTTTGATGATGGTCATTTTCAGCCTACTAGTATTTTGCCAACCCTCTGGCAAAATTATGAAGCACTTAACAACTGGCTTAGATAGTAAGATGGACTGATTCCAGTACATCTGTGTAAATCTATCGATGTCTACATTCCTTCTCACTCATATTTTGTTAAGATGGCCTGTAATTTAAATTTTTCTTATTATATTTTGAGGGAGGGATGGAGAGAGAGAAAGAGAAGAGAGACAGAGTGAGTATGCACTTTTCAAATACCAATTCAGTCCCCAGATATTCACAATGTCCACAGATGAATCAGGATGCCAGGATCCAGGAATTGAATCCGTTTCTCCTACATGGTGGCAGAAACCCAATTATTTGATTCATGGCCACTGTAGTCCAGGGTCTGAATTAGCAGAGCACTTGAATTGAGGCTAGAAATGTGACTTGAAAACAAGCATTCTGCAATTGGATTTGAATCCCGTAGGCATCTTAACCAGTATGTTAACCAGTATATTCACTTCTTTGTCATTTACCTTATCAGCTTCCTTTGATAAGGAAAATTCTCTGTAGTTTCAGTGTTCAGTATAATAATCACCAGACATATGTAGCATGAATATTTGGCATACAGGTAGTGCAAGTAAACAAAGTTTTAGATTGCATTCTTTTTTTATTTATTAATTACATTGCATTATGTGACACAGTTTCATAGGTTCTGGGACCCCCTCACCCTCCTCCCACCCCTCTCCAACCCCTCCCCCCATGGTGGATTCCTTCACCTTGTTGCAGTATTATAGTTCAAATCCTAAATGAAAATTTGAAAGTGGACATGATAGTTAAAGGTGACTGTGACAAACTAGAGATGTGTGGTTTGAATTTCTAGTCCATTTTCATTACAGTATCAACAGGTTTATGTTAACATGGAGAAAGCATTTTGAAGTTGCTCACAATTATATCATAGAAATTGTCAGTGGTAAACCAGGACTCTGTAGACATTTTTCACGTTAATCTCATATGTTTTAGAATATAATTTGTTTAGTTAGGGTAGGTATATGTTAATTTCAGTGTTGTAGATACCTAAATGTCACAATCAGACTTGACCAAACAGATAACTCTTTCAGATTTTAGATTCTTTCAGAATTAAAATTTAGAGAGATGCCAGCTCATAACCGCAAGGGCTGGATTGGGAACTTGAGGAAAGGAAATATAGGGAGCATGCACTTGAGAAGAGGGCATTCAGGCCATGATTTTGCAGGCGTTGTTGTATCCCATCTTTCAGTATCTCATGCTGACCCATGTTTTTCTATTGATACATTCCATTACCAGCTATTTTACTGCTCCTCAACTGACTAGGATGAATCACAGCACTTCTAGATCCTTTTCTTTCTCTGAATCTCTTTACAGTCTGAGATTATGATGTTTCAGGTCTGCCTCAGATCTTGTCACGCTTGATGCCTTTCAAAAGTATAACCCATGTTTTTCAAGTCAGGTTGTGCATACTAGGTTCTCATGTTGCATGAAAAGTGAGAATTTGATTTTGTGCTTCTAGGGTATAGTTTGGACATGTGCAGTTCTTTGCTTAATGAAATACTTATTGATTGTTTGTTTATTTGTTTGAGAGCTACAGAAATATGTAAAGACAGATCTTCCTTTTTTCTGTCTGTATAGTTGACATTAGTGTGAATACCATACATTGTTTGGTTCTGAATTCTCAATTTTTTTCTTCTGGATATTTTGAAGGTTTATGTGAACTTTTTGTTTTTTTCTCTCACTTATTTATTGAAATACAGAGTTAGACAGTGAGAGAACAAGAGTGAAAGTGTGTGCTTTGTCATCTGCTGGTTCACAGACTAAATGACTGCAACAGCTGGGGCTGGTTTAGGCGGAAGCCAGGAGACTGGAGCTCTATCCAAGGCTTCCACTTGGGTGTATGGGCCTAAATCTTTGGGTCTCTTTTGTTGCTTTTCCAGGTGCTTTAGCTTAGCTTTGAATTGAAAGTGGAGCACCTGGACTTGAATCCATTGTTTGTATGGAATGCTGGTATCTTAGGTCATAGCTTAACCCATAAAGTATAAGCATTTATCTCTAGGTGGAATTTATTCATCTACTGGTTTGATTCATACTCATCAATTTTACTTAAAATGTGTTTCTTCTCTTTTTAGCTCTGAGTGATATAGAGCTTGTAGCCCAGTCAATTATCATTCTTTTTGCTGGCTATGAGACCACTAGCAGTACGCTCTCCTTTATTATGTATCTTTTGGCCACTCACCCTGAGATCCAGCAGAAGCTACAGGAGGAGATTGATGCAGCTTTGCCCAATAAGGTGAGTGAGTAATACAAAGGGCAGGGACACTGGCAGAGACAGTGTCTTGATAGAAAACCTCCACAGTACTGTTCATGGGAATGGTTGCCAATGTGTGGCTTGGATACTTTCACTGGCAAATTTAGGAAAAAAAAAACTGAAGAAGAAAACACATGAAGAAACAAAATGATGATCGCTACTCACTGAATTGTAAGATCTTTGTAAATTGGTGTTGGTCCTGGGTGTCTGTGCCAAGTCAAAAATATCTGCAGAACCATGGTGGCACCTACAGGGAGTCCCTGTTGCTCAGGTTTGTGGTCATTAGCTCTGCTTCAAGTGGCTGGACTTGGTTTGTTCTAGCTGTTGGCTGAGTGGGCCTGGCCTGGGGAGGCAGGCTGTGCTCTGCTTCCTGCATATCTCATCCTCCAGTCACACCACCCGTGGTAAAGGAGAAAAGAGACGACTCAGGGTCTCTGGCTCTTGAGTCAAACTCAGTCTCTCCAAGATAACACCAAGTGATAGGCTCATATTATGTAACCTCACGTCGGGGTGTGTGGCTGTTTGATGGCAAGGTAAATAGCAGTGTCTTCTTCCGAGTTTGCAGCTGACGCTGCAGCTATACCCGAGAGACATTCTATCAACAGTGAATGGGGCTGGAGTGGGTTCTTATCTTGTTCTCGAACTTGTTCTTTTCATCAAAACTGAAATTGTTGCCATGTTAACATCATTTTAAGCTCTTTCATGGTAAGTGTAGGATAGAAATAGTCCAAGTTCTCATTTGTGCAATTAAAAAAAAAGATTTACTTAGTTGCTTATTCACTCATTTGCTTAGTTGCTTATTCACTCATTTTGAGTGTAAGAGCTAGAGAGAATGAGGCAGACAGATCTGGTTTGCTTCCCGAGTGGTCATAATGGCTAGTGCAGCGCCAAGCCAAGCCAAAGCAAGCCAGATATCAGGAGCTGCTTCTGGACTCTCAGTAGCTTATAAGAACTAAAACTCTTGGAACATGTTCATTCTTTTTTTTTTTCATTTATGTTCTTTGTGATACAGTTCTTTAGTCTCAGGGATTTCCCTTTCCATCCTCCTGTGCCCCATTGTTTCTCCCGTAACAATGGTATAGTCCTCCAGCAACAGCCCATCATTTTTCAGTGTATCATAAAATTGTAGGTATAGACGATGGTACAAAGTCAAGCATCCTATTGTCAAGAAATATTTAACAGTTTCATTGGGAGTCCATTGTTTATTCAGAGGTACAGATGCATACTGCTATGTATCTTCATTTCACAGTGTACTTGCTTTCATTGTGCAGTTCCTTTAGATAAATATATGTATATACATATTTACCTATATATATATTGATCTTGTATTTTGCATGAAGGCTGCCTTATATTAGAGAGCAGGTGATATTTGTCTTTGTGGAATTGATTTATTTCACTGAGCACAATGGTCTCTAGTTTGGTTGCAACGGGTAGAATTTCATTCTTTTTAATGGCTGAATAATATTCTATGGAGCAGATGTACCAGTTTCTTTAACCACTTTTGTTTTGACGGGCATCTGGGTTATTTCCATGTCTTTGCTGTAAATATAGGATTACAGATCCCTTTCTCATATATGTATTTCATTTCCTTTGGATATTCTCCCAGAAGTGGGATAACTGGGTCATATGACAGATCCATTTTCTGCTCTCTTAGCACTCTTCATATTACCATAGTGGTTGTGCTAGTCTACATTCGTACCAGCAGTGAAGAGTGGCATATTTCTCCCTCACAATCACACCAGCAGGTGTTGTTAGTGGAGTTCTCACTCTACAGTCCTCCGCTCTACCAGCTGAGCTATCGAAGGGTGCACTGTTAGTGGAGTTCTGAATGTTGGCCAGTCTCACTGGAGTTAAGTGGAATTTCAATGTGTTTTTTTTATTAATTAATTACATTGCATTATGTGACACAGTCTTATAGGCACTTGAATTCTCCCCACCCCTCCCCAAACCCTCCCCCCATGGTGGATTCCTCCACCTTGTTGTGTGACCACAGTTCAAGTTCACTTGAGATTCTTTCATTGTAAGCATTTACCAAGCATTTAGTCCAGCATCTTATCGTCCAGACCAATTCAACGTCTTCTTGGGGAGACCAACTCTGGTCTGAAGATAGAGCTGGCAAAGTATCATCCTGATCAATTAAAAGCCCCAACATACCGTAAGCAGCAATTTATAATGTTATGAAATCAATTGACATAGTATTGAGTAACCAATATGTTAAAAAAAAAATGCAAGTTCTCAATCATACCCTGTGACTTCTTCATTGACATTTCATTTTAGTTTATATACAACTGGGTTCTATACACCTTGAAATGGCTCTGGATTACTATTCAGCTGTCTTGTGTCTATTTTCATCACAGTATTTAGCATTTTATAGTGTTGAAGCTTAATTTTGCTGGACTTGGCTGTTTTTCGGGTACTCTAAACTGGCTTATAACTCTAACAAGACACATGTCAACAGTTTAGGTGCAGAACAGTTTTAGGAGGGGTGTGCAGAGAAATTTTCAATAGCTTAGTGAGGAGTAACTAATCATCGTGTCCCACTTAGTGAGGTATAAGTGAATCCATGCTGACCGTTTCCTGTCTGAGTGTAAGCTTTCCTTGTTGTTCTCTATCTATTCTAGATTTTTTGTTTGTTTGTTGTTTGTTTGTTTATTTTAAGGGGTTTCCGGAGCGATCCTGATGGTCATTGCCAGAGAGGGTGGGGACTCAAAGTTGGAACCAAGCGAGGACCAGAGAGAGCTCCCATTCCTATTCCCAAAGGAAGTTAACTGCTCTGTTTCTGCAGACTGCTCAGGGCTCTTGGCTGTTGTTCTGATGCCCTTGGATCCTGCGAGGAAGGATTTAGACTTCTTCCATCCCATGTGTCAATGTGATTTTCATTTATATTTCCCTGACAGCTAGGGAGCTATTTGAACTTGTTCTTTTGAAAAATATCTATTTCCTTGGCCCATTTCTTCTCAGGTTTGTTTGTTTTTATGTTAACTGAGTTTCTGAAGCTCATCGTAAATCCTGGATATTAGTAGCCTCTCTGTTGTGTAATGTGCAAAGATTTTCTCCCGTTCTGCTTGCTGCTTCTTAATGTTGCTCATTTGTTTGTTGCTCGTTTCCTTTGTTGAATGGAAACTTCTTAGTTTGGTGTGATCCCAGTTATTTATTTTGGCTTTGACTGCCTGTACTTTTGGTGAATTTCCTTCTCACAATTTCTGTACCTTGCAGTATGCTTCCCATGTTTTCCTCTGGGTGAAGATATAGATCCTGGATCCATTTAGAGCTGATTTTTGTATAATGTGTCAGGTGGGGATCTTGCTTCTTATCTCTGCAGGCTGCTATCCAATAATTATTTGTAATATTCCCTGATCATTCTATGTATGCCTGAGGTATCCATTGTTATCTTTCCTCTGTTGTATCTGAATCTTTTTAAAAGATTTATTTATTTTTATTGGGAAAATAGATTTACAGACCGAATGACATACAGAGAAAGATCTTCTGTCTGTTGGTTCACTTCCCAAGTTGCTGCAATGGTCAGAGTGTAGCCAATATGTAGCCAGAAACTAGAAGTCCCCTCTGGTTTCCCTCATTGGTACAGGGTCCCAAAGAATTGGGCCATCCTCTACTGCTTTCCCAGGCCACAAACAGGGAGCTGGATGAGAAGTGGAGTAGTCAGTACATGAGCTGGCACCCCCATGGGATCTCGGTGCATAGAAGACAAGGAATTAGCCTTGTCTGTGATTTTACTGATTTGTATCTTCTACTTCCTTTTTATTTGTGGATAATTGGGTAATGGAGAATCTATTTTGTTAATTTTCTCAAAGAACCAACTCTTTGATTTATTGATCTTATGTATGTTATTTTGGTCTGTGTTTGGTTTATTTTCTCCCTTATTTTGGTTATTTCTTTTTACCTGCTAATCTTGGCATTGTTTTACTGTTATTTTTCCAGTTTTTTTCCATATGTATGGTTAGCCCATTTATTTGGTACTTTTCTATTTTCTTGACATAGTGTTGATCGAAATGAACTTTCCTCTTAACACTGCCTTGATTGTGTCCCTTTACTTTCGTATGTTGTTGATGCCTTCTTTAATTTCAAGCATTTAAAAAATTTCCCCTTTGGTTTCTTCCACAGCTTATTGTTTATTTAGCATTATATTTTTCAGTTTTCAAGTATTTGCATATTTTGTAGAGTCTTTTGACTTGTTGTTCGCCTGTCATTCCATGGTGGTCTGAGAAGATGCTTGGTATCATTTTGATTTTTAAATTTTTGAGACTATTTTTGGTGTATAACATGGTCATTCCTGGAGAAAGTTCCATGTATTGATGAAGAAAAAAAATGTATTCTGTGTGTATAGGATGAAAAGTTCTGTAGAGATCAATTACATCCGTTCGTTCTATTGTCTGAGTGAGCTGTTTTCTTTGCTGAGTTTTTGTGTCATCAGTCTGTCCATTGAGGTTAGTGGGGTTTTCAAGTCCCCACTGTTATCGTACTTCAGTCTGTTTCTTCCTTCAGATCCATTAATATTTGTTCCACATAGCTGGGTACCCTGGCATTTGATGCATATGCATTTATAATGGTGATTTTTTTTCTTGTTAAGTAGATCCTTTGCTCATTATCTGACTTAATGATCAAATAATGTTTTTTCACATTGATGTTTTTATTATCTGATATAAGAATGGCTACATCAGATTTTTTTCCTTTCTATTAGCCTAGAATTTCCTTTTTCCGTCCTTTGACTTTAAGTTTCCACATATCTCTGTTGCATAGATGTGTCTCCTGTAGGCAACAGACAGATTTTGGTTTTTGATCCATTCCACTAGTCTATCACATTTGCTTGATGAGTTTAAGCCATTTGTATTCAGAGTTTATCTGGACAGGTAGTGATTTGGAGGACCATGTTGTGCTGCTTTCCCCAGTCACTAGCTGTCAAATGGAATGAAGTGGAGCAGCCAGGACACCAGTCTTGTTGATGAAAGAGGCTGGCATTACAGCTTGTGGCTTTACCTGTTACATGGTAGTTACGGCCTTTTGTCTGTTCAGATTTTATATATGTGATCAAAGCAGTTTAAAATCAGGAGCTTTAAAATAAATGTCTTTCGCAGAGTATGGATTTTTTTTTTTCTGTCTTATTTCTCTGACAACACATGTGATCTCTCTGAATGGTGGCAAGGACGGACATTTTTTCTTTGGGAGCAGTGGTGTGCTCTATAATCTCACTCATATGCATGAGAGAGAGAAAGAGAGAGACACAGAGACATTGGTTGATTGGTTGGATGATTGGTGGATTGGTTGGTCAGTTTGAGGGTTTCTGGGCCTCTTTAGGGAATTGACTTCCAAGTCTCCTGAATTGGAATGTATCATTCATTGAGCAGGGCAAATGATGTAACTATCATTAAGTACTTCTTTTAAGCCAGTGTCTTTCATCACTGTGAGTTATCCTCTGAAGCTCATAATGCTTCAACAGCATTGCATAGACTGAGTTTAAGATCAATTCCAAATCTCAATTTATCAAAACCCGTTTCTTTATTTCCCAGGCACTTGTCACATATGATGTCATCATGCAGATGGAATATCTGGACATGGTGGTGAATGAGGCTCTCAGATTATACCCGATTGCAGGAAGAATTGAGAGAGTCTGTAAGAAAGATGTTGAAATCAATGGGGTATTCATTCCCAAAGGTACTGTTGTGATGATGCCGAGCTATGCCCTCCACCGAGATCCAAAGTATTGGACACAACCTGATGATTTCTGCCCTGAAAGGTACAGGATTTCTGGGAAGGGGAGACCACCGTGACCCAGGCTGGTTCAAAATATTCTGGTATCTGTTAGTACATTTAACAAACTTGTGATGGTGGAATCTTTTGCACGTATTTGCTTTTGTTTTTAGTAGTTTTTGTTTTGACGAAAGTGGTGTTTATTATCAAAACTGTAGAAACAAGAAACTGTCGTCATCCACAGTTCCAAACGTATTTATGTAGCATCTATTTTACATTGCTTAGACAGTGATTAAGTTATACAGGAGACTGTAAAAATGCTGTTGCATTTTATGTAAGAGATTTGAGCTTCTGGATATTTGTGTGAGGGGAATCCTGCATGTTGTCCTCCGCTGATACACATACAGTTCTATATACATGTGAAAACTCACATAATTGTGGTGATGTTTGCATTTAACTAATCTATTAACCGCTGCCTTATTTTAGGTGTACAGGCTTTTTTTTTTTGGTTCCAGTTTTCCACTTTGGTTGCTTTACAGTCATTGCACCTATAGGAAACATTTCCACCTTGTATCTGATGGCCTCTTCCTCTAGAGCAATTATAAAACCTCAGGCTGTGCTGAGAAGTCCTCATTGCTGATGGACAGAGGAGTTAGTGAGGACAGAAGAGAGGCCAGACACCCTGGTCCTGGTTCTGGGTGCCGTTCTCTGGCAGCCACATGCCCTCTTGGTAATGAAGTAACTGGCTGTTGAAGCTGTTTGCTCTTCTGGGAACTAGCAGTGTATGTCAGGTTTGGGGCACATTGTACATTCTGGAAATGGTTGACCTGCTGCCATTATTGCATTGGCAAATAAAAGTGACCAAAGTTTTGTAGGGCACTAGCTGGTAAGTCAGGAATCTTAAAATCCAGATGTTTTTGTCAAATGGACTTTCTGATGATAAAAACGTCTGTGGTCTATGTCACCTCTAGTGCTAGCACAGAGTCTCCATATGATATTTATGGAAAAGCAAATCAGTGTTGACCTATGCTATGTGTTAAGGGCCAGCAATTCTGTGTGTCCTATAGGTTCAGGATTTATACCTTGTATAGCTTCATTCATGTTCCATGGCAAATGTGTGTCATTATTTTGATTAAATGATATTTAACTTTAAGTGTCATGGAATGGTCCAGCACAGTCCATTGCCCCAATCAGTTTATGCATGTGCTGGTGATTACAATTGCTGGGTCAGTTCTGATTCCAGCCCTGTCTTCTACATGAATAAATGGGTGTTGGAGTCCAGCCTGATTCTCCCCACCATGCTCTTGGCCCTCACACAAACCAGTGGGAGCTGCAGCTTAGTTGGGATGACTCACAATAACCCCCACCAGGACCACCCCCTGCCCTGATTCCTGTGCTTTCCAGTATGTATGGCAGACTGGTCCAGTCTGTCCCATATCCCATTCAGCTCTCATACATGTCAGTGGTCATTAAAGCCTAGTTCAACCCAAGCAGCCCCACTATGCAGCCCATACACATGTTGATGGGTGCCGTTGTGTCCAGCCAGGTGTGCCCTAGTCCTGGTTTTAATGTTCTCCAGAGGGAGTGATAACCCAAGAGGGAGGTGCCCAGTATTTCCCTATTGGACCCATTCCCACTCCCAGATCATGTACTTTCCAGGTGGTTCTGTAGGTTCACTTGACAGAATTAACCCCCCAGTGCCAGCATGTGCCAGATGATGCTGCAGCAAAGCCCAACCAGCCCTCATCCACTCTGATTTATGCTTGTACCAGTAGGAAGTCAGCCCAGCCTTGCTTTTCCCTGATCTAGTTCACATGAGGCCCACAGTTGTAGCTCTGCCTGGTCTGGTCTGCCCTATTCCAACTCAGGCTCTCCAATGGGAGTGGCTGTCCAACAGGAGAGCTCTCCACATTCCCCCTACCAGCTTTCCCCCCTTCGTTCCTGGTTCTCATGTGTGCTGGTTGGGTGCTGTGACCCAGTCTGGCAAGGCCCACCTTGCCTCAGCATTTGCCAGTGGGTGCTGTAGCTTGGCCTGGTCTGTCCCAATTCCAGCTGACGTTGATGTGGGTTACAGACTAGCCCAGCCCAGCAGGCACCCAGTCTCAGTCACACTATATACTGGTATGTGTTGTGACCAGGCCTGGCCATACCCACACTCTATTCTGGTGATTGGATTTGTCAGTGGGTGATGTGAACTCGTTCAGTCTGATCTGCCCCCGACTGTGCCAAATATATGCTGCTGGTTACCTTTCCATGGCTTGGTCTGGGCTGCTTCCCATTGTGGTTCTGGTGCTCAACTGCACGGACTGTGTCCTGGCAGAGGAATTTCCCAAGCGTCTCCATCAGTACCTCTCCTAGTGCCAGATCTCATGCATATCAGTGTGTCCATAGGCCAGTCCTACTCACTTTACCTCCTGTTCTAGTAGGAACAGTGGTCTTTCCTGACTGTCCCTCAACCCATTCTGGTTCTAACTGTTATATGTTTCAGCCCAGCCAAGGATTGTCCACACCCAGACACAGCTCATGCATGGCACAATAGGGACAGAGACCTAAACTAGCCTGTGCTACACCTACCCAGGTCCTCCAGAGCACCAGATGGTGCTGAAGTCTAGTCCAGCTTTGTGCACCCAGCCCCAGTCCACACTTATTCCAAGGGGCACTGCAGCCATATCCAGTCCAGAATGCGGCTCTTACTCCAGCCCCTGCACTCACCAGTGGGAACCCCAACCCGGCCAGGGTGTCCCCTTAGTTCCCCACCTAGGCCTGTTTCCAGCATAGATCACGTGCATGCCAGTGGTCACTTTGATCCAGGTTGGCATAGCCCCTCACCTGTCTTGGCCTTTGCCTTAGATGCTGTAACCTGACATGATCTTCCCTGCCCCCCATTCTGATAATCACTAGTGGGTGATGGAACCTGGCCCTGCTCAGTCTACTCCCATCCCTGGCTCATGCAAACCAGTATGTGTAAAAGCCTAGCTTGGCGGGCCCGGCGCTGTGGCGCAAGTGGTTAAGGTTCTCACCTTGCACGCCTGGGATCCCATATGGGCGCCGGTTCTATCCTGGCAGCCCCGCTTCCCTTCCAGCTTCCTGCTTGTGGCCCAGGAAAGCAGTCGAGGACGGCCCAAAGCTTTGGGACCCTGCACCCGTGTGGGAGACCCGGAAGAGGCTCCTGGCTTCGGATCGGCATAGCATTGGCTGTTGCGCTCACTTGGGGAGTGAATCATTGGACGGAAGATCTTCCTCTCTATCTCTCCTCTCTGTATATCCGCCTTTCCAATAAAGAAATAATAAAAATAAATCTTTAAATAAAAAAAGCCTAGCTTGGCATAACCTGTGTTCCAGTCTGATTTATGTTCTTGCTGGTGAGCTAAGGTTTCACCACTATTTTAAAAGCAAATGTCTATATCCCATGAACCTTTCCTCAATATAAACATCGTTTCTTTAAAATCATCAACCATCCAGGAATTAATGTAGCTCAATTTTGACTTAATCTTCAAGATAACTATAGCCTAGTCTAAAAAATTACCAACGAAGTCACTGATGTTACTGGAGTCATCAGATGCCATGTCAATTATCTGACAAACTATTGTAGGCAAGAGAGATGGAGAGTGGTTGTATGGGGGACCGCAAAGAGTATTTGATGAATTGTTTAGAGAGGAAGGAGAAAGAAAGGGTGGTATAGGAGGAAGTGAAGGAAAGGCGAGAGAAGGAGGAAAACAGGTGCTAGGGGGACACCTTTCCTTCCTCAGTGACTGTATGATCAAAATAGTTGGCAGGTGAAGTGTTGATCCACTTTCCCTTCCATCATTCTTATTTCTCATATGCCTTTCTCTAGTGTGAGGGGAATCAGAAAGGCTTTATAGCTTACAACTCCTAAAGCTCAAAAGAAGCAAAATTTGGTCAACCCACAAGTCTGTTCTATATATAACTGATTGAGCTATGTAATTGACAACTCCAAATAGGTGGTTTCTGCATTTTTATGCATCACTAATTTGTTTTCATTTTCTGTTGTGGAACCAGGTTCAGTAAGAAAAACAAGGACAACATCAATCCTTACATATACCTTCCCTTTGGAGCTGGTCCCCGGAATTGCATTGGTATGAGGTTTGCTCTCATGAACATAAAACTTGCTATTATCAGATTAATGCAGAACTTCTCCTTCAAGCCTTGTAAGGAAACCCAGGTTAGTGTATTTAATGGCTCCTATGCCTTATTGGGAATATTCTTATTCTTATTTTTTTTTTTTTTTTACTGAGTGTGTTTTATATGACTAAAGGGTGTACCCATATCTCTTTTGAGTTCATTCTAGCAGCCAAGGAATGTATATGGATCTGTGAGCATTAAGTGTCTTGCAGTTCTTGAGTTCTAAATGGGTAATTTTCTAAAGACCCAAGTATAAGGATTATCTAGAGTCAGTGCATTCTAACATGATGTGATTATGTGATGAGGAAAGTTTTAATTGTAATTTCAAGCCAAAAGGTGATAGAGAAGAGCTGTATTCACACATGAAGTTGAGTGATTACTTTGTCATGGTTTTTGGGTGTTATTCTCTTCCATAGTTTAAGAGGCATCTTAAAAAGTTAATGGAAAAATGCATATTATTAGAAAAGGTTTATGGATCTAAAAAGTCTCCATCAAAAGCAAGGCATACTTTGATTCCCTTTTTCCTTTTCCTGACTGAAATCAACTTGCACAAATATTGTATCCTGGTAATACTGAACCACTGGGTGTACAAAGGGCTTTAAGGAGGGAGTCTTGACAAACTTATGATGCCTGGATCATCTCCAAATTATGAAATAATTCATACGGAGTGTGAATTTTGAAGTTCTCCCCATTCTTTGCTGTGGGCTCAAGGTTAGCAATTGCTGATTTGTGGAACTCTTAATAATTGAAAAATGTCCACCATCCATAGTGTCCTGGCTACATTACGCCATCTTCCATGAGCTGTGTCCCAGACAAACTTGACTCCCTTTGCATTCCAATGTTAGCTCTGTGAGTTCTCTTCATTCTCTCCTCCTCACACTGTTCTTGTCTTTCAAGTTCTGCTTCATTTTTGGCTTTTTCACCAAATTCACCCTCTGTGGGAATTTTCCTCTTTCTAGTCTGGGGAACATTCACTTCTCCGTTCATGATTTCAGAGCAGATTAATTGTCTCTTAATAGAACACTTTGTTGGTACATTATATATCTTGGTTCTCAGTGTGTTTTTCCTGCATCAATGAATATCTCCCCAAAATGTAACAGTGGAGGAGCACTTTAATCCTTGGGTAAACTCCCAATGAGATCTTTTAGTGGTCTCAGCCCACTAACAATATTCACAAAATGTTTTTTAAAAAATTATTTTTTAATAATCTTACTTAGTTGATTAGGGTACAAAGGGTCAGGGCTACAGGGTGAAAGTGGGTAATATCATTGTTTCCACACTAATATTATCATTTTCCTCTGTATCTGGGGTCAGGGGAGAAATAAAGGGAAAAGCCCCACCAACCTCTCACTCATCCCAGGTCCCCAATGAGAGGCACAATCTGAGGATCCTGCTCAGTTTTGCTAGTTCAACAGGTCTGAATTGCTGCCAGTCTCACCATTCCAATTGCAATGAAACCTATTCAGAGTCCACTGGCTGACATAGTGTCTTCGTGGTTGGGGTTCTAAGATCAGCAGTTCAGTTGGAGGGATATCCAAAGAAACTTCATCTGAGATGATCTCAGACCTGATTCTTGTGTGAGTTTGCTAGTACAGAGTCCAGCACCGTCCGTCACACCAATCAGCTTATGCACATGCTGGTCGTTGCTATTACTGGGTCAGTTCTGTTTCCAACATTGTCTTCCTCATGAACCAACGGGTGTTGTAGTCCAACTCGATCCTACCCACTTCATACTTGGTCCTCACGCAAACCAGTTGGAGCTGCAGCCTAGTTTGGGTGACTCCCCGTAACCCCTACCAGTTCTGCTCCCTACCCTGGTTCCCATGCTTGCCAGTATGTACCACAGATTTGTCCAGTCTGTCCCACATCCCATTTAGCTCTCGCACATGTCAATGGGCATTGAAGCCTAGTTCAATCCAACCAACCTTACTATCCAGCCCACATACATACTGGCAGGTGCCTTTCTGTCTAGCCACCCTTGCCCCTGTCCTGATTTTCGTGCTTTCTAGTAGGAGTAGTAACCCAAGAGGGAGGTGCCTACTATTTCCCTTCTAGGCCACACCTACTCTCCAGGTGGTTCTGGCATTTAACTTGACAGATTAAACTCCCAGTTCCAGCCTCTGCCAGCTAATGCTGTGGCTAAGCCCAACCAACCCTCATTATTGCTTGCACCAGTCGGAACAGTCAGCCCACCAAGGCCCTTCCCTTATCTAGCTCATATGAGGCCCACAGGTGTTGTAGCCCTGCCTGGTCTGGTCTGCCCCCATCCCAACTCACGCTTTGCAATGGAAGTAGTTGTCCAGGAGGGGAGCCCACATTCCCCTGCTGGCTTTGCTTCCTCCCCCTGTTTATCACATGTGCTGTTTGGGTGCTGCAACCACCTCTGGTGTGGCTCATCTCACTTTGGCATTCCTTAATGTGCACTGGTTTGTGTCGCAACCGAACTTGGTTCGACCCACACTCTGTTCTGGTGCTCGGATTCGCCAGCGGGTGATGTGAACAGGTTCAGCCTGGTCTGCCCCCAAATATTCACAAAATGTTTAAGCAATGCTTAGACATTGATTTGGAATTACTAAATGTTTATTTTAAGTTTACTAAATTAAGAATTTTATCAAAATGTATTTGTGTATATTTGTACACTTTTATGTACGTCTTCATGGAAAGTGTATTAATACCATTTCAAATTTGAATATGATTAAGTAATATGTTTACAGGAAAGTATTTTCTGCTGTTTTCATGTCCATTAAGGTGAGAATCTATAGAACCGAATCAGCGATAATCTATAGTTAATTATTTTTTATCATTATCGTCCCTGGTTGAATGGGGCCCATTTCAGAAGTCCAATTTGATTGTCAAAATTGATAATAACTAATCTACGTTGCCTTTTCCTGCATCTTAGAGAGCGACTTCATTGTTATATTTTGCCCATTTTGAAGTATGTATTATTATAACAATCAATTGCAGCACTTATAATTTTATGACTAGCATGTCGTGTTTTCATTTCTTCTCCCAGGATTTTTGTGGAAGGCAAGGAATGCATTTTCTTATACCCCTCTTGATCCCATCTTTGAATCATGATAATACCATCTTAATACAATGAAAAATGAGAATAAAATGGTTGGTCAGTTGTCAACTAACATTTGCCAGATTCAGTGGCTGTCAGAACCTGTCCAGTGTTTATCCTTTTCTACCCTTTTCTGGAATTTTTCTTGTGAGAATCTTACATTAATATTTTCATTGAGTCCTTTCAGGGAAGGCCCTATGAAGCTTATTTCTAGGGTTTAATATGCATTTAATATGCATCTCCTTCACCTCCGTATGGTTTCTGCAAAGGAGCATAGGAGGGTGGAGCTGATTACCACTATATTTGTGGAATTCAGGGATCTTTGTGGAAGTTTGTAAGTGTGTGAAGAAATGGAATCTTCCCTGGGAGGAAGCAGGTCTCTGCTGCACGTGGTGTGGGGCACCTCCTCCTTGGCAGTCAGTTCTCCAGTCATCTTTAAGTTGGCTCTTCCTCATGTCTTGAGGAGTTGCTGGAGCTTCTCTATTGAGATGAGAACCTTTGGATGCTTCCCCAACACTGAATGGTTCCCTTAGGTGATGTTGAAAGAATTAGTGACACTTCAGTATTTCCCTATTTGCATTACAGCTGGAATGCAGGAAGAGATGTTAGATACAAAAAGCATGATGTTTCCTTTCTCATCACTAAAAGTAGTTGAGAACTGCCCGTACAGTTCAAATGTGTTTCACCCATTCAAGAATAATCTCAAGTTTCTACATACAAAAGTCAACTTTATGTGACTTTTCTAAAAGCATTAGCTGTAAATCTAAACGTAATGTTTAAATTTTTTATGTTTACCATTTAAACTTCTAATTTAAATAAAAAAAGAATACAAGCTGATGTGATCTTCCTGTGGTCCAGCATAGAATATGTTCTCCATAAACATTTTGTTTAGTGGATAGACAGATGAATGGTTTCACTATTCAGTGTTGAAATAGGTTATACAATAACTATAAAAATTTGTTATATGAAGCTTACATAATATTCTGTATTTATAAACAATTATTATCTTGAGTGTGGATTTTCTACTATGCTTTTGTTATTGGTGGTATTTCCTGCTTCTCAGCATGCTTACTTAACTGTTGCAGATCCCCATTAAATTAGCCACACAAGGATTCCTTCAACCAGAAAAACCCATTCTTCTAAAGGTTGTGGCAAGAGATGAAACAGTATGTGGAGCGTGATTTTTCTATGAACCTCGGCTTTACTCTTCAAGGAAGCTATATCCAAAACACCAAAGATTTCATTTTATTTTCTTAATAAGAGTTGATTTATTGTGAATTATCTCTCTTCACACTCATGTAATTTCATCAACCTTTGCTTAGCTGGATCACACAACAAACATTATGAATTGTTTTTGAATAATTTTTACTGAAATTTGAGTTAATGAGGTGACTGTTTAAGTGACATTTGTATCCTATGTTATATGGATTATTCATTAGTAAGTATCCCATTGAGATGATCAATAAACATTGCTTTACAAAAAATGTTGTCAACATCATTCCTACCCATTGAGAATTTATGGAACTCAGTGAGAATGATCAAATCACACTTTGGATACTCACAAACACTGTAGAGATAATTGTTCAGAATTCTAGTTTGACATTAAGGTAGACTTGAGCAAACCCACTGTGGATTTTGCCATTTTTTGTCTTTTGTCAAGAAGTCATGCACTAACCGCCCATCAAGGTGGCGCTTGTCGGGGGCGCCTCTGCCGGACGGAACCCCGCCGGGGTCTCGGCCACAGTCCCCGCCACAAGGCGGGGACAGAGACCCAGCCTTGGGCGGCCAGTGCACCAAGTGGTGCCAGGCTCTGCCTGCTGGCCACCCAGCGGCGAGCCTGGGGTTTTGATGATATGAAATAGCTGCTTTGGGACACCCATAAGTAAGACCAGTGTTAGCATAGGTGAGACACTAATTTCTGGTGATTCCCAGGAACCGGGACATGAAACCTTAATGCAAGTGTGGGACTGAGAGCTGAATGTTCGGACTAAGCAAACCTTAGTCCACAAACATGATTGGAACACAGGGTGCAGCTCAGGACATGCCCAGCTTGGTTTTGGCTCCAACTGGTTCACATTAAGCACAGAGTTGAGCCACGGTGTCTAAGGCAGGGGTTGTGACAGGTGGATGGGGCTGCGGTAGGGTCTGGATACAGTTGTTGTCTCCCTTGACACAAGTGTGGACTGGAAAAAGACGTACCGGGCCAGGCCATACCGTAACACCTTTTGGTGCTTTGGAGTACCAGGGTAGATATGGGACGGACTAGGCTAGGTCCCAACCTCAACTGAGCCATATACGAGCTATATGGGGGTGTGGACAACCGTGGCTGGGCTGAAACACCCTACAGCAAGAACCAGAAAGGGATGATGGCCAGTTAGGAAAGGCCACTGTTCCTGCTAGGACAGGAGGCGAACTGGCACATGGACCCACTGGTATGCACGAAACCTGGCACATGGAGGGGTTCTGATGGAGGAGCCTGGGCAACTCCTCTGGCAGGACACAGACCCTGCAGGTCAGCGCAAGAAACATGGACAGCCAAGAGGTCATAGAAAGTGTCCCACTGGCATGCATTTGGCATAGGTTGGGGGCAGACCAGGCTGAATCTGTTCATGTCATCCACTGGTAAATCCGAACGCCAGAACAGAGTATGGGTCAAACCAGGTCCAGTCATGACAAAAGCAACACACAAGTTGGAATGCCAAGGCGAGGTAGCCTGAGCCGAATGCAGCCGCAGCACCCAGCCAGCACACGTGAGAACCAGGAAAGGAGGAGGCAGAGCTGACAGGGGAATAAGGGGTGGTTCCCTAGCTGAACAGCAACTTACACTGAGGAGCGTGAGCTGGGTAGGGGATAGACCAGACCAGGCAGGGACACAGCAACTGCGCACCTCATGTGGACCAGATTGGGTGAAAACCAGGCTGGGCTGACTATTCCCACTGGTGCAAGCTACAATCAGAGTTGGTGAGGGTTGTTGGGGCTTAGTTGTAGCAACAGCTGGCGGAAGCTGGTACAAAGGGTTAGACATGTTGAGTTGAACCACAGGGCCAACTGGAGAGGGCACAACTGGAATGGGAGCGACCTGTGAGGGAAATAGTGGGCTCCTCCCTCGTGGGTCATCACCTTCCACGGGAGGGCATGAGAACTAGAACAGGGGCTGGGGTGGCTAGACAGACACCCAACAACATCCGTTAGGGACGGTTGGATGAGATGGTTGGATGGAAGTAGGTTGCAACACCTGTTGGCAAGTATATGAACAGAAGGGTATTTGGGACAGACTGGAATAGTATGCCATACATACTGGCAAGCCAGGGTAGAGGGTGGGCCTGGTTGGGGTTACTGTGGGCCGCCCTGACTGGGCTGCAACTCCTACTGGTACGTGCAAGGGCCAAGTGTGTCCAGGGTGGAACCAGGCCGGACTGCAAGAGGACACGGGTAGAGACAGAACTGACCCAGCAACTGCAACCACCAGCTGATCGGGACAATGGACTGTGCCGGGCCCGATGCTTACTAGAACACGCAGGAATCTGGACTGGGAATACCTCAAAATTTCTTTGAGGATCTCCCAAGTTGAGACACCGGACTCAGAGTCCTAACCAAGAAAAGACAGAACAAGTCAAGCAACAACCTCAGCTATCTGTTGGCTGCAAAATACTGGGCAAATGGAGACTCTATGATGGACTGTGTCAATCAATGGACTCTTCAACGACCACATCGTGCTTGGAGTGGCGAGACTGGCAGCGACCCATGAATGGTGAACTATTGGAACCACTTGATCGAGTATCCCAGAGCATGCCCCACACCCGGGACTTAGGGTGGGTGGGAAACTGGGTGGGGCTTCTTCCTCTATATCCCCCTTTAGGCCTCGAACCTTTTTTACCCCAATTAAATATGTAAGGATTGTCAAAATTAAAAAATAAATAAATAAATTAAAAAAAAGAAGTCATGCACTATAATCAAGTAGAAGTTATCCCTATGATGTAAGGCATCAACATTCAGAAGTCAGTATTTGTAGTAAAACACAACAGAATGATGAATGAAAACTCTCTCAATAGATGCAGAAAGAGCATTTAAAAAAATATTTATTTTATTTTTATTGGAAAGGCAGATATACAGAGAGGAGAGACAGAGAGGAAGATCTTCCGTCCAAAGATTCACTCCCCAAGTGAGCGCAACAGCCAATGCTATGCTGATCCAAAGCCAGGAGCCTCTTCCGGGTCTCCCACGAGGGTGCAGGGTCCCAAAGCTTTGGGCCGTCCTCGACTGCTTTCTTGGGCCACAGGCAGGGAGCTGGAAGGGAAGTGGGGCCACTGGCACTAGAACCGGCACCCATAAGGGATCCCGGGCGTGCAAGGTGAGGACCTTAACCACTGTGCCATCGTGCCGGACCCAGAAAGTGCATTTGTTAAGAGATTCACTTTCCTTCATGATAAAAGAGGTCAACTATTAGCTACAGAAAACTTTCAAGTAAACAATGACTAGGTATATGAAACCTGTAATAGACATCATGCTGAATTAAAAATCAAACTGTTTCTTCTAACTAGGAACAAGAAGTGGATGCTTAGTGACCCCCCCTCCCCCCGCCTTTCCACTTTAATATCAGGTGGTTTAGACTCACAATTAGGAAAGACAAAGGAACAAAGGGCATCCATGTTGGAAAAGAGGAATTCAATATACCCATGCTTGTAGATGACATTGGTATGGAGATAGAGGGAAACAGCCTCAATTACACTTCCAAAACAAAATAATTAAAGCAGAACAGTAGGGTCAGCTTTTTAATGCAGTGGTGAAGCTTCCCTCTGTGATTGTGGCACATCATTGAGCACCAAATTGAGTCTTGGCTACTCCACTTCTGATTCACTTCCCTGCTCATGTGCCTGGAAAGAAGAAAAAGATGGCTGAGGTGTCACCCACGAGGGATCAGTGGAGTTCTTGGCTTTTGGCTTTGGCCTGGCCCAGCCCTGATTTTTCTGGTCATTTGATGAGTGAACAGCAGCTAGAAGATCTGTTCTTATCTCTGTAACTCTGCTTTACAAATAAATACAAAAATCTTCACAGAGGGCATATAAAATCATAACATCTGACAACAATTAGAAAACAAATTTGAGTCCATATGTATATATCCAACTGATATTTAACAAAGATGCCAAGAATATACATTGGGGAAAGACAGTTTCCTGGTGGAAATACTATACTCATGGAAGAATGGAAATAGGTCCCTGCCACTTTTCCATATCCAAAAATCTACTTCAAATGTGTCAAAGATCTGAATATAAGATCCTGAAACTATGTAATTGCTAGAAAACATAGATGAAACACTTCAATTCCTTGTAATAGTCAGCTTTGAATAAGATAGTGAAAGTATAAATAATGAAAATAAAATGTAGAAATGAAAGCATCTCACAATAAGAACTTCTGGATTACAAAGGAAGCATTCAGATGAGAGAAGAAACAAATGTGTTGGGAGAGAATTTTCACACACTGCTCATCCATATTATTTTTCCAAACATATCGAGAAGCCAATATCACAACAAATAACTTGATTAGAAATAGAAAATTTATGACATTTCTTCTAAGAAGACATCCAACTGACAAGAAGGGTATAAAAAAATACTTGATATTACTAGTCATCTGGAGATGAGGTTTAAAAGCACAGTGGGAAGTCTCCTCATGCCATCTGGAATGGCTTTTTCCAAGAAAACAAAAGAACAACAACAACAACAAAATGATGGCAAGAAGGTGGGGAATATGGACTTTAGCATTTATAGGACATAGTACTGAGATTCCTCAAAACCCCCAAACACCTCCAACATGCTTTTGCAATACCAGTGCTAGGCATATACCCAAAAGAGATGAAATTATAAGAAAGTGATATATGCACTCCCATGTTTATTGCAGCTGGCATACGAAATCAACCAATGTGTCCATGGTGAGAAAAACAGAGAAAAAAATCTGCACTCTCTCTTATATAGGAAGATAAACTCAATCTGGACACAGAGTAGGGTTATTAGACACTAAGCCTGATGGAGAGAGGGGTGATATGTAGAAATTGGATGACAGTTTTCCAATATCTAAGTGGAAGGAATAACTGTAGTGCTTCACAGCACAGTGTCATGATTATTGTTCATAATAATAAATTTTATTCTATAAAGATCTGTAAGAAGGCCCAGCGGCATGGCCTAGTGGCTAAAGTCCTTGCCTTGAATACACAGGGATCCCATATGGGCGCTGGTTCTAATCCCAGCAGCTCCATTTCCCATCCAGCTCCCTTGTGGCCTGGTACAGGTACTATTTTTCATCTTGACATCATTTAATCTTAGATTCTTAAATTAAGGCAAACGTGATATCTAACCTTTTGGGATTGGCTCATTTCTCTTAGCATTATGGTTTCCAGCTGGGCCCATTTGGTCACAAAGAGCTGCATTTTGTTTTTTTAAATGAGCCAATCCCAAAAGGTTACATACCACATGTTTTCCTTAA